TTTTGTTACTATTTTTTATCATGATATTATTTATTGATTAATGGCAAAGTGCTTTCTAAATATAATATAATGCCCACACCATCATCATAAAACAGCAAGCATATATTATTTATGCTGACTTAAAAGTTGTAAACGTATTATTGATAATTTCAAAAGGTTTACCTATTCTTCCTAACATTGTATGTTATTGAACTAACCTACACTGGATAATCATCAATTACAGAAGAGAATACACTGACCACAAAAGAAATAAAAAAAGCTTTCATTCACCTAAGGCCTCTTCATGGTCTTTTTCATTTCAGGATGACTCTAAAAAAATTAACTCCAATCAAAAGATCACCACAAAAAAAAAAAAAAAAAAAAAAAACCACAGAAGGAGCAAAACAAATCATTCAGGTGACAGGTACAACAGATGGTCTTCCTTTATATCTTAAATTCTATCTCAGAAGCAAACAGCTAAATAGAATACCATTTCCCTTGTAAACTATATCCACGGCAAATCCTTCAGAATGGTTTTCCATTTTGATCAGAGAATGTTCTGAATGGATGTATTTCATAGGCTTCAGTTCATCAAATTTGATGATAAATTTTTTCAGCCTCATAATCTATCAACTACATTTATTGAAAATTGACTCTCTGCTTATTGCTTTCTAGGCACACATTGTTAATTCAAGACTGTTTACTCAGCTGGATGGACCAGTTAAGAGGATCTCCATGCAAAGATACTATTATGGGTAGCAGACATAAGCAGGTGACTGTTGATAAAAATATTCTGGTCTTAGCTAAAGCCAGACATTCTTTTCAAAGTCACGACCCACAAGGCAGAAATAATTTAGATAAGAAAATAGATAGAAAATAGTTAGATAGGCAGATAGATAGAAACATAGATAGAGATAAATGACAGTATTTGGCAATAGTTCAAGTCCTATGGATTCCAATTCCATTACCTTCCTAATTTGTCTGGAATGAATCCATGAAATGATTTTCATAGTTGAAGTGGTTGCTACTGACACAATTTACAGATTTTCCTCATAGAAGTCACTTTTATTAAAGCAAAAAGATATGAAAGTCATGTCTGCTTTGTTTAAATGGAATCAAGATGGACCAGTGAAGACACTTAAGTCACTTGCCTTCATGATGAAAACTGGAAGCTCAGTCTAAGCAGACAACTGTTACTATCTCTACTCAGCCTTCTTTCTGTTCGTCACAGTGCTAGGCGAGCCTCAGAGGGACTGCTGGCACCCAAGTTCCCATTCACGAATGGGTATATATAGGGGGGTAAAGGTGGTGCTTTAAAAAAGGGACCATGCTAAAGAAAATAGCCTGGATCCTTTCTCTCAAGACCACTATATTATCAAAATGTGCTTTTATGTTCATTTTAGAGCTTTGTCTCCCATGCCTACTTGGTATCATTTAGCGCAGGATGGAACATGGAAAGTGAATGGTCAAATCCACAAACAGCAGTAAGTCTGATAAACCACTGAGGCTAGCTCAGGGACTTGATCATATCTACAGAGATGGAAAGAATCATAGATGAACAATGGTGAAGTCTCTCCCATTTTAATCTCTTTCATTAAAAAAATTTTAAACCTGCACACACACACAGCACGGAACTTAAGAAACAGTATGTTACTGATAACTGTGGAAACCTCTGAATCTCTCTCCTTTATAATACCTCCAAACCTAATCCTTAGAGGTAATTACCATCTGATGTTTGTGCTTAACATTTTAAAGTTTTCTTCAGAGTTTTACCACATATATTGTATTTTAATTCCTAAATGATGTATTGCTTAGTTTTACATTTTTAAACTTTATATAAATGGTATATATTCTTTGGTGATTTTATTTATTTTTTTTATCTCAAAATGAGATTTCTGCAGTTGATTCATCCATACATGTGGCTATAGTTCACTTATTTTCAATGCTCCATAGAATTTCGTGGTGTGAAGAGATCACCATTTATGCAGATGGGACATTTGTGATATTTCTACTTTTTATGTTATTGTAAAAAGGCTGCTATGAATCCTACACATATATCTGTACACATGTGAAACAGTACTCAACAGGGGTAGAGTTGCAATTTTAAGATATGCATGTATTCAACAGCACAGGTATTTTCAAATAATTATTTAACATTAACTTGCTCCATCCAAAGCCTGGAAAAAGACAATGTTCCTATCTGAGATGGCAAGAGTAAGTTTTCAAAATAGTTATGTTGACGTTGACAAATTAGTCCTCCATTTTTCTGGTAAGGAAATTCCCCAAACGTTGTGTCAAAACATTTGTGTCAAACTGCTGTGTTTTGCCAAAGAGCTAAATTTTCCCGTCAAAACAGTTAATTAGAAGCTATTAATGATGCCTTCCTAGATTTAAGAAGCCATTGTAAGAGAAGAGAGAAACTGGAGGAAAAAATTATCCCCCAAGCCAAGGTGCGGGAGATAAGGAAGTTTGTGGATCGCTATTTGGGAATTTTGCCTTGAATTCCTTAACTCTTCTGCAGTCATTTCACAAACTCTAACTCACTCAGTTAACAGACAACAGGGAAACTTCTGATATATGAAGGGCTAAACGTCCAACACAATTCTTGCTTCTCCTCTTAATATAGTTAGTCTTGTAATATTTTATTCTTATCACAGAGAATGGTTTGGGTGCCGTAAGTCATCATCATAAGCACCCAAATGGTACTAGCAGATCTGTATCTGATTTAGTCAGCTACAGACCATCTGGTAATCATTAGGTGAGAAAGTTCACTGATAAAATACTTAAATCCCTGAGTCATAAATTATTTGAGAAAAAATTGCTTAGCTTCTTTTAAACCAAGGCTATATATCCACATCCAGCTCTCTCTCTCTCTCTCTCCATCCATCCATCCATCCACCCATCCATCCATCCATCCATCCATCTACCCACTAGAAGGCAGTGACCAGATGTCAGCATGGGATTTATGATTTGAGTAGATTAGGGCTAATGAAACTCAGGTCAGAAAAGCTAATATCTGCATAGAACGGTAAACATTCATAGTTACACGACCACAAACTACATTGCAAACCCACAGCAGCTGTTCTACAAATGAATGTTGGTCACGAAGAAATCAAGGGAAGAAAGATCTCAGGGTTGCTGAGTATATCTCTCCTCACATCTGGTAAAAAACTAAAGGTCATACTCTACTGATGGTTGGTCCATGATATCAACCTCTACCATGAAGGTGGACACGTTAGATTTTGGTACACAAAGACCTCAGAATAAGGCAGTCAGGGAATGACAAAGGGGAGGTGCCATTTCCAGGCTGTTGTTAATGCCGTCCTCTGAGAAACAGGAGAGACAGTCAGTCAGTCAGCAGCAACCTCTCCTCTGGCTTTTTAGATGCTTTGATAGAAAATATTCTCTTACCTCATTGAGACCTCCCCAGACCAAAATATATGCACTTAATCATTATTCACACTCAGGAAGACTCTACATAAACAATCAGGAATATTGTATATATTAATCCATGCCTTGAATTTCTTACCTCACATTTCTCATTCTTCAATAAAAGCAAAGACTTCAATTTGAAGTCACTAGACATTTTTTTAAACAAAATCTATCTCTCAAGAATATATGGAATATATATTTATTTCTTATATCTACCTATATTACACAGACTTTCCCAGATAATCGTATTTCCTCTTATTACTCCACCTGGCCAACTCCTTATTAATCTACTTTTGGGGTTCTATTTCCTTTGGTATCTAGAATATTGTTGATTTTCAAGAAAAAAATTGTTTTTAACATCAAAGTTATAGGCCCTTTATATTACTCAATCCCTTGTGATTATCCTTGTCAGAGCATTCTTCCAAATAATCTTTCCATACGCTCAAGTAAACTTTTTAAGAATTGATAATTAAAAAAATGGATTGCTATGAATTTTACAAACAGAGCCACAGAGAAACATTTTTAAGGGTATATACATCTTGATACCAAGATGTAAATACTGAGGAGATTAAAGTGGGGAAAAAAGAAACATGCCAGGATGGTACTAATAGTTATAAAAAATATGTGGCTCTTTGGCACGACCCTGCAGTAAGAAAGTAATATTTAGCAATAATCTTTGTACAAACATGACCTTCTTGGGGTGACATAATACCAGGCTTCTGTTATCTATTGTTTTAACTTTACCTCTTAAAGTAATCATCTTTCAGTTTATTTGTTGGACTGCCCTCATAAATGGGCAAGCTCATCTCATAAGAGCAGGTGAATGTCAAGGAAGAATTTAAACGAAGGCATATATCCTCTACACAGGAAACACTCAATGTTTTAAAAACAGCAGTGGAAAAAAAACCCCTTGCAGTAAAGGTTTAGAGACATCCTCAAGGAAGGGCACAGACGTGTGTTAGTGATTTATCTTTCTCATAAGCCCAACGCAATACACGGCATTGAATTGCAAAGATAATGGATAAGAAAAAGAATTCTCCGCCAGATTCTACACTTTGCATTCATTAGTCCTCCCTAATCCAGTTCTACAGGTGTCAGCTCTTCTTTTACTAGTAAGGAATTCGGCCACTTTGACAAGGGTGATGAAGAAGAAATGCCAGGTGCTGGTGTTTGGAGCAACAACTTGCCTCCACTTGCCAGCGCCATAAGACTGTCTCCTTGGGACTTCCTAGAGGATTATAACCTCCGGATGGACTGCTTCATGAGTATTTATCATCCTTAAAACTGATCAGAAACGCCAGGTGGTCATGGTTACAAGACACCTGTTTTCGCGCATTTTTTGATAAAAGCTTCTCTGCTGAATTGCTGATAAATATTGACATTATGTTTCAAACCACACGCAATGGCTTGAAATCCTGGCTTCTCTCACACAAAGAATTAAGCTTTAACATTTAGCTGATTTCTCTAAGAGCAAGAACCACTGTGAGAACTTTTACCTTGAATTTCTTTTTTAAACATTGATTTTAAAAACAAACAAACAATCAAACAAAGAGAAAGGCCAATTAGAAAGACAGTAGATTTTCAATTACCTTGGAAACTCGATTTGCAACTTCTCTGCCCACGGTCAGCCCCTGGACAAATGTCCGAGCAGCAATGAAGGCGCGAGTGACCTGAATTTTCAGCTTCCGGGGAACATCTCCGAATGGCTTCAGCTGGTCTGTGTATTTGCTCACGCACTCCAGGTAGTCCTCGCTGAAGTGATACTGTGGGTTGATAAGCTGAAACATTCGTTCCAGGAGCCGAGCCCAGAAGTCATTGAGCATCTCCTCCAGATTCACATTGCCCCCGGTGTAGTATCTTTTTAGCTCTGTGAAGAGGTCCTGGAACACTTCCGAATTCTGCATGTACAGCATGCCATAGGTCCGTACAAACATATCATTTAGTGACTTCTCTGCATTTTCCAGAAGCTCTCGGAAAAATTCTGCAGATAAAACAAGAAAGCGGTCATAAATTAGCAAGCTCTAGGAAGTCCAAGACATCTACTTACCTTAGAAACAACTGCTTCTAATGGTTATTTTCACAGAAAAAATTGTACCCTGTGATTAAGGTATCAATGAACTGATAATATTTTAAATGAGATTTGACCTACATCTATGATCTTCTCTGAGTCAAAGAAAACAGAAGATCATGGGATTCTGTCTGAAAGAACATCCATTAACATTAGGAATCTACCATTTAATACTCCTCCAAAAAGGTTCAATTATATTTCCATTTATTGTTAATTTTAGAAAATCCTATGGTTTCATATTAACTCAAATCAGAATATGTGGCTAAGTACTGTCATTAATATAATAATAAATGCATAAGTGATAAAAACATTTGCTCCAGTCTATTTACAAATCTGTTCTACCACCAAATTCAATTAAATTGCTTTTATTTGGAAAAGTTCATAAATGGGATATTCAAATTAATGTAATATTTGGACTCTTTGTAGTTGCTATATATAGCAATCAATTATCAGTGTTTAGAGATTCATAATGCAATTAAATGCACTTAATGCCGAGGCTATAGTAAACATAATTTAGGCTGCCATAATGCATAAGAAAGTTATGAATTACCATGCATTATTATCATATGCTATCACTATCATTTTACAGCACTTGAATAAAATATAGGCATTTGGGCTTTCCAGTTAAGAGGTTCTAAATGAAAAAGTGTCTACCAAGAAATGACCTCTTCCATCCTGCAGTAGCACTTGAGTGTTTCTGGGAGTAGTAGTAGGCAAAAAAAAAATAGGATGGCAAAAACAACGTCCCTGGGTACTGGTAGGTCCTCATATTAGTCTCCCTCAAGACACAGTGCAGGGCTTCCCTGGTGGCGCAGTGCTTGAGAGTCCGCCTGCCGATGCAGGAGACGCGGGTTCGTGCCCCGTTTCGGGAAGATCCCACATGCCGCGGAGCGGCTGGGCCCGTGAGCCATGGCCACTGAGCCTGCGCGTCCGGAGCCTGTGCTCCGCAAATGGGAGAGGCCACGACAGTGAGAGGCCCGCATAACGCAAGAAAAAAAAAA